AGAACCATTTTTAATCATAAAATTCCAACAGCATTGCATCAGTTGAGGGAAAAAGCAAAGGAAGTCGGGTTAGCTATGGGCGGCACTAAGGCCGAAATTATTGCACGTCTCATGGAATATGACCCGAGTGGTAGTTGGTTGCATTGCGGCGACGAAGACGGCGAAGGCGCGGCTTCTGTACTTGTACCTACAATCAATGACGACGAAAGACGTGGCTGCGAATTGGAACTTCAACGGGGTCAGCAGGAAATTGAGTTTGGAAGGCGTGAGAGGGAGCTTCTGAAACGAGAGCTTGAACTAGCTCGTCGTGAAGTCGAGTTCCTGCGAGCCAGTAAAAGTGGAAGCAGACCAGAGGACTTGGATCCTTCGGCAGTTTTTCGTGAAGGCATGCTAGAGGAGCAACGTATTTCAACACAAAGCTTACGATCAACATCAAAGATGAGTATTAAAATATTAGGTGAGCTCATCAGCGATTTTAATGGATCACCTGACCATTTCAACGTTTGGAAGAAGCAATTAGTTTTCTTAAAGTCAGCACACGATCTTAGTGAGGACGAGATAAAAACTTTGATTTGTATGAAACTGAAGGGAAAAGCATTTGAATGGCTTCATTCAAAAGCTGAACATTTGGAAATGACCTTTAGTGATTTACTATCTGATATTGAGCGAATGTATAAGCCGAAAACAAGCAAAATCGAGCAACGAAAGAAATTTGAAAATCGTGTATGGAGGAAAGACGAACCGATCATGGAATATGTTCACGATAAAATCGTGATTGGTAACCGCATCCCTATTACAGATGATGACATGTTGGAATAGCTTATAGAAGGAATACCGGATCGTACTCTTTGCAATCAAGCACGTATGCAACAGTTCTTAACAGTGGAATCTCTAATAGAAGCGTTCGACAAAATTCTATTAAAGGAGTCATCGGTTTTAACACAATCTAGCGCTGTTAGGATGACGAAACATAAAACTACTGAAAGTATCAAAGATAATTCTGATGCCAGTATCTCGCAGAAGTGGGAAGTGAAGAAGAAAAACTGTTACAACTGCGGAACTCTAGGTCATGAAAGTGATGAATGTCCGATGAAAAGTCAAGGTCCAAAGTGTTTTAATTGCGGAGAGCATGGACACATTGCATTGAAATGTTTGAGAAAGGCCAAGGAAACAAAGCAATCCAATCATTTCTAATGACATTGCAAGACATCGTCTTTTGATTGGAAATGATTTCCTGGTACGAAGAAACTTTCATGCCAAACAGGGTGTGATTTATATGGATAAAGATGATGACGAGGTTGCTGAAATTTTTCAAATGGATGCTTATAATGAGAAAGATGATTGGAAGGTTGATCTTTCCCATATAGAAGACCATGGAGTTAAATCTGAAGTGGAGAAAATAGTCAACGAGTATAAGCCCAAACAAAAGGTTGATACGACGGTGAGTATGAGATTAGTGCTTAAAGACAATGAACTTGTATACCAGAAGGCGAGGAGATTATCCCCGGCCGAAAGAGATATCGTAAACAAGCAAGTTGAAGAGTGGCAGAGCCAAGGCATAGTAAGACCTTCGACATCTGATTACGCCAGTCCGATAGTTATGGCTAAAAAGAAAGATGGCTCCCATCGACTTTGCATATATTATAGATTGTTGAATCGAAAAATTGTAAGGGATCGATTTCCCTTGCCTTTAATTGAGGATCAACTGGATGGACTTCAAAGATCAAAAATATTCAGCACACTGGACTTGAAGAATGGGTTCTTTCATGTGAAAGTAGTCGAGGAAAGTGTGAAATACACCGCATTTATTATTCCGGATGGATAGTTTGAGTTCTTGAGAGTTCCTTTTGGACTGTGTAACTCGCCATCAGTATTTCAGAGGTATATTAACGCCATTTTTAGAGAAGCAATCCGCGAGGGCATTGTATTGACCTACATGGATGATTTTATAGTTATTTCGGAAGACGTAACTGAAGGTTTGCTAAGGTTGAGAAAGGTATTTCACATAGCATCTAATGCGGGCTTAATCATCAATTTTAAGAAGTGTAATTTTTTGACGAGTCGCGTTGAGTTTTTGGGTCATATTATTGAAGACGGTATGGTAAGGCCCTCAGAAACAAAAATTGAAGCTGTAAGATGTTTTCCAGAGCCAACGAATGTAAGACAAGTTCAGGCTTTTCTTGGATTAACTGGATACTTCAGGAAATTTATCCCAGATTACTCGAGAATCGCTCGACCTTTATCAAATCTTTTGAGAGCCAATGTTAAATTTCAATTTGATTTTGGAGAAAGACAAGCTGTGGAATCATTGAAAAACTATCTCACTAGTCAACCTGTGCTTAGCATTTATAGAGTTGGT